CCCACCCCTTTCGCCCTTTTCCCCAAATAAAAGAAGGGCGTGATTTTTGCGGGGTATGGATGGTGGCAATGTACCCGTATGTTGTTCTTGAACGCGATTTAACAGCATGGTCTGATCTTTCGGGTGCAGCGAGGGTGCTTGCCAGCCTCAATTCTGACCGATCGGAGGGAAAACAACTTTTTGTTGTTTTTGGTGTGTGTTGTTTTTTTTTTTTTTGGGGGGGGGGTGGTTGAGGTAAGTTTTAAATTATTTTTTTTTCAAACGGCGCTTGCAACTCTACATAAGGTCATATGAGCGCACCGGACACATTAAGCATTTTCAGTTGGAAGGAAATTTTGAATATTGCCCGGGTGGCGGCCGAAGCCTTCTCTCGATTTTGGACCACGAAGGGATCTTTAACGTGCGCAACTTGCACACGGGACCTCCGAGATTTTTCGCCCTGTTCCGAGAAGGTTAGGTGAAAATCTTTCCTACCATAAAATTAGGAGAGTGGCTGAAAGACAGCAGTAAGAAGGAGAGCTATGAAGCAGCAGTAGAAAGGTTGCAGAAAGAGTCAAGAGCGCAAAGGAGGGGGCAAAGGAGGTGAGGTGGTGGGGGTAGAAAGGCGACACGAAAGCAGACAACATAATACATTTGTTAGAAGCAGAAAAGGGTGTGAAAGAAGAACATTTCCCGAAATCCGCCCAGTGTCATGTGTCCTTGATGAATAAATTTGGGTTCTGTCCAGGAAAACATTTTCTAGCGACTTGAACTCACGGATTTCGCTAAAAATCGCGAAAATCACGACAAGTCGCGCGCGAAGGATGAAAGTACACTCTACTCTAAAAAGAGTTAGATCTTCTCTCAACATCAAGGTTTGATGAATTTCCTTCTGCCCATTCTCCTTTTCTGTAGCCTTTAGTGGAAGAAGAAAAGGAGGGAGTGAGGGAGTCTCACAATACACGAGCCTTTCTGGCGCCCACTGGGATGAGAATGTGAGGCGTGTGAATTACGGAAACTTTATGCGAAAAGAAAGGCAGACTGAATGAAAGAGGTGTGAGCACACAAGCTGAGGAAAGAACCTTTTGTACTTCTTGTTGATCTAGATCTCTGGAGGTTGGGCTTCAAGTTCGTGACATGACGTGACGAAGTGTGGGGGGTCATCTCTTGACATCCCCCCCCCCTTTTTTTTTTTTTTGTTTCTCACATGAATACACACCTTTTTTTTCTCTTCTCTTTTGAGTGTCGTCAGCGGTACAGTGTTATGTTTTTGTTTTCAAGCAGGCAAGTTCATGGTGACCTTCTCCGTGCGTGTGTTTTAGCAGTTACCTCAACCTGGTGGAGCTGTAGGTTGTTAAATTGTAATTTAAATCCGATTCCTTCTTTGACACGCCCCC